GAAAAAAAAAAAAAAACAGGCTGAAAGGACGGACGGTAAATGTTGGCTCTATAATCATGAACACAATATTAGATGAGATGTATCAGTATTAGATGCCCTCTTCTGGCACAAAGTCATACTTGCAGATAGAGCACTCATGCATAAAGTAAATAAATAAATCAAAAAAAAAAAAAAAAAAAGCAGGCTGAGAAAGCCATAGGGAGCAAGCAAGCCAGTAAGCAGCACCCCTCCATGGCCTCTGTATCAGCTCCAGACTCCTGCACTGACTTCGTTCAATGATGAACTACATATGGAGCTGTAAGCCAAATAAACAGTTTACCTCACAACTTGGTTTTGGTCATGGTGTTTCGTCATAGCAATGGTAACCCTAACTAAGACATTTGATGTCTTCCAGTGCATACACCAGCCTCGTTGGCCCTCAGGCTTCTGGGGATTCTGTCTCCACCTCCTCCCTCTCATAGGAATACGGTGATCACTGATGCACCACTGTGCCAGGCTTTATGTGGGTTCTTCGGGTCTGAACTCAAGTTCTCACACTTGCACATAAGCGCTTTGCCCAGTGACTCATTTCTCCCTCTTAACCTGAAACCTCGCTTTATTTTTCTTTTATTTAAATAAAAATGGGAGGAGGGGCTGGAGAGATGGCTCAGTGGTTAAGAGCACTGGTTGTTGTTCTTCCAGAGGACCCAGGTTCAATTCCCAGCACCCACATGGCAGCTCACAACTGTCTGTAACTCCAGCTCCAGGGGACCTGATACTTTCACACCGGTGCACAAAAAATAAAGTTAAATAAATTTTTTTTTAAAAAATGAGAGAAGCCAGAAACAAACAACCACCCAACTCAGGTCTCCATTTTTCACCTGCTTCCCACCCAACTCAGGTCTCCATTTTTCACCTGCTTCCCATCCCAGATCCATTATCATCTTTCCATCCTTCCCTTCCCCTCTTTGGTGTCTTCCTTCCTTCCTTCCTTCCTTCCTTCCTTCCTTCCTTCCTTCCTTCCTTCCTTCCTTCCTTCCTTCCTTCTTTCCTTCCTCCCGCCCTCTCTTTCTCTCTCTCTTCCTGGTACTGGAAGTTGAACCCAGGACCTTACATGTGTGCTAGGTGAACACTGTAGCACTGAGCTACATGATCCTTGTGTGTGTGTGTGTGTGTGTGTGTGTGTGTGTGTGTGTGTGTGTGTGTGACAGGATCTTGCTGTGTAGCCAGGGCTGGCCTTGAACTGGAGATCCTCCTGCCTCTACCTCCTGAGCGTTGCAGTTTTAGTTATGAAAATCTTGTTGTTCATGGATGCATTTATATCGTGAAAACAGCAAGAGTTGGAAAACAACATAAACTGGAATTCTTAACTACTTCCGTCCAATTCCCATTCTCTTTCCTCCAGACAGTTCTGTTTTGAATTTGGTATCCTTTTCAATGTTCACGCACACACACACCAGGTGTTTTGCTTTCCCCTTTGAAAACTTGTTGGAGCTGGAGCGATGGTTCATTGGGTAAGAGCACATGCTGTTCTTTCAGAAGACCTGGGTTCAGTTCCCAGCACCCACATGGTGTCTCATAACCATCCCTAACTCTAGTTCCAGGGGGTCAGATGCCCTTTCCTGACCTCTGGGGCCACCAGACAGGTACAAGAAGCACAGATATACATGTAGGCAAAACACACACATAAAGTAATCTAAAAAACAAAAAACCTTGTCAATAACATCCCCATGCCAGGCCACATAGAACCATACCATCCCCCAGTACAGCTATAGATGACTTTATAGGCGGCATCTCAAGTTTCCATGTTTCCTTTTATTCAGCAGCCTGTGTGCATTTATGGGAGGTTTGTCCTGGTAGGCAGGCACCTGACTGAAGGGTACGCACATATAAATTCCAGTGTATATTACCAGCAAAGGCAATTGGCCCTCTTTGTGGCAGGATATACCAGTGTCTTTGCTAATATGGACGCTGTCCACTGTCTGCCTGGGCTGCCTCCCTGTGCAGGGATGAGTTCCCCATCACCAGAATGGCATCTGTTGGGCTGGAACCACTGCAGAAGGCGTTCCTGATGGGGAGAGGAGGCAGAACCAGGTGGCTTCAGAGGCCCCTTCCAATCCCTTTGGATGGCCTCACGTGAACACAGGGCGGCTCCTTTACCACCATTATTAGTTTCCCCGACCAGGAGCCGAGGTCAAGGTGTTTCTTTTATTGTTCTTAGGTCAGCTGAAGCTGTCCATTGATGCCCAGGATCGGGTTCTGCTGCTGCACAGTGAGTATGGCTATGTGCAGGTTCACCCAGGGAGGGGAGGGATGGTCTCCTCCTGCCGGGAGCTGGACAGGGCATGGTGTCACTATGGTATCTTTCCTTTTCCTACAGCATCCTGCCATGTGTCGGCTGACACAGTGGGTGCTCACTTGGGACACTTTCTGTAGACCGAGCGTCTGTCCTCACGCTGAGGTCTGGAGTCTGTCCACCAGACCCGTTTTCCCAGCAGGCCGCAGCTGCTGTCTCTAGACATCTCAAAGTTATACTTGGGCCAGACACAGCAGGGACTGCGGAAAAGCCTTCCTAGCCTCTCTGCTGCCTTAAAAAAAAATCCTCATTATTTTGTTTATTCACACAATGATGGGCAGCACAGTGTTGTGGTTAAGGTCATAGCCTTTGGAGCCAAGCCACTAGAAGCTGAGTCCTGGTTCTGATGCTTTGCTTTCTAAGTAAACTTGAGCAAGCTCCGTTTTCCCGTCACACAATGGTGGTAATAACAACCCTCTCACTCCCGGGTTGTTTCGAGGATTAAAGGAGTTATATTGTGTAAAGCACCCAGCTCACAGCAGAGGTGTCTAGCAAGACGAGGGAAAGCCATAAACGGCAAAGTTAGCGGTCGAGCATTTGCCTCTGTGCCAGGGGCTGTGGGCACCAGGGAGAAGTGCTTCCCTGTGTCTAAGTGGCGTTGTGGGTTGCCAGGGAGGAGGTGACTTGCCCACTTCATCCCTTTGTGTATGAGTATTGCCAAGCTTCTGTTGTGGCCCTTGACGTCTGGACTTTTCAGCTTAGCGTGGAAGGCCCCACCTGCCTCTCTAGGCTTCCCGGCTCTTGCTGTGCAAGATCCCCTCCGTCCCATTCTATCTACCACGGCCCCCACTCCTCAGGACTGCACCCTGCTTGGCACGGGGGAGCTACGTGTCTGCAATAACCTTCCTCCTTTGTTGAATTCGAACCTTTCCTTCCTCTGATTTTGCAAGAACTGAGCCGACCCAGGACATCGGTGAGCCTCAGGAAGGAAGGCTGGGTTTGCTCCCCGCCAGGAGTGACCCCCTGGTCCTTACCCACTTCCAGGGGCTGTTAGTTGCTCCCTGCTTGGGGTCCTCATCGTAGCCTGGCCATACTGTGCCACCATGAGTTTGGTCTCTCGACCATGATGGTTTTGCAGTGAGGGTGTGGTCAGGGCTACCTTACTGCCGCTGGTAGTCAGGAAGACCCAGGAGGTCACCAGGCCTGGATCCTCCCCAGGAAAGCCACACCCTGCAGGGGAAGACTATACTCTCGGGGAACAGTAGCTAGGATACAGAACAGAGAACAGCAGACGCCTGAGGTCCTTTGCGCCTGGCCTTAAGGGGCCCAATGTGAAGTTCCCAAGGACCAAAGGAGGGGTGTTCCGGGCCTGCCAGGGTCTCTCTCCAGCTGAGCAAACAGTTCTTGCCGAACGCATCTTGGCCCCTGCCACACGTTTGTCCTGTGTAGTTTGCTTTGGCTCCCCCCCAGCCCCAGCCCTTCATCCCTTCCAGCCTGGCTTCCCAGGCCTCCTGCCCCAGACTCCGGGGCTCTGTGCGAGCCAAAGCCAGGCCCCGACCAAACCAAACACAAAAGAAAATGAGAGATGTGGGTTCTGTTAGGCCTGTTACCTGATTGCTGTGGGCCTCGGGTAAGAGAGCAATTCTCAGCCCTTAACCTATTATTCCTGTCTGTCTACCTTTATTATTATTATTATTTATTTATTTTCTGCTTTGTTGACAGTGATTGAATCACGGGCTTCATACATACTAGGCAAACACTCTAGTAACTGAGCCACGCCCCAGCCCTTATTCATTCTTTTCAGTTAGCAAACATTTTGTAGAACTGTGTCTTATTGGTCAGGCAGTCTCCTGAGCACTTTAGAAACATTCGTTTATTTTAAAAGTACAAGTGTCATGTGAGTGAATATCATCACTAACTCTTGGAGAAATGGAGCACTCAGTCTGAGGAAGTCCAGGTTTCTTGCTCTATCGAGTACACACGGCTGGTGAGTGGTGCAGCTGCCTTCACGGCCGGCCTGCCTGCCTCTGGACTGCGAGCTTGGGGCCGTTCTGTAACACTGCCCACAGCGTGGCACAGTGCCCCATGCAGCTTGGGCCCCCATTCCCGGAGGCTGTCCTGAAAGGTAGAGAGAGCCCTGGACTGGGAATCGGGAGACATAGGTTCTAATCTCACTGCCATTCCCATTGCTCTGTGATTCTACACGAGATTCTGTGATTCTTGTATCTTCGGCTCCTCCTGGCAGCCACATTCCCCCCACTCAGTGATGGCTTGGACTGAATGCCTTCTAAGTTCCCCTCTGGCTATGAGACCCGGGGAAAGGAATGCACTCCATTCTATAACATGGTGGGGGTTCTGCCAGAGCAGGGGTGGGGGAGGGGCAATACACTAGGCAGAGGTGGAGTCAACCGTTAGTTAGTGTGTCCACCAAGAGACCAGGATGAAGGGTCAGAGTCCTACTGCCCAGGGATATGCTTTGTATTTCCACATCCTTCCGTCAGGGAGTGTATGCCTGCGCCTTGTACATGTCCTCACTCACTCACCGTAACCTTGCGATTCTCTCCTAGTTATAGAAGGCAAAGGCCTGATGAGCAGAGAGCCTGGCGTCTGTGATCCCTACGTGAAGGTATCTGATACAGCTAGAGGCTGGTGTGAGGTACTGAGGAGCCATGTCTCTGAGTAGAGTCTCAAGGTCCTGGCACACCTGTGGGTTTGGGCCTGGGGCGGTGGCTACCACCTCATTTGCTGGGTCTCTGGTCATTTATGAGGCCCTACGCTGGCCTAGACCCTTGCTTTTTGACCGGCTTGTTCCCTAGGGCTTTAGACAAGAGCTAGACTCTTACGGGTGATCTTGGCGATCCACATGGTGGCCCCTGTGACCATGCTGGTGACTGACACACAAGCTTTCTTGTGGGCAGCAGCGTCTTCGTCCTCTTTCCCGCCAAAATGAGGCAGAACCTAGTCAAACTTGGGCAGGCGAGTGGAAGGGGTGTCTCTGAGGGCCGCCAGGTCTTTCTGGGTTAGACCCTTGCAGTGAATGCAGACGACCACGGGGATGAAGGATACAGGACGCCAAAGGCCAGGGACATCCCAGAGTGTGGCAGCCAAGATGCCAGGTGCAGGCCTGATGCTCTCTTCCCTTTACTTTTGAAGTCCTTCCTGCCAAGAGCCGGAGAAAGGCCTGACAGGAATCGGCTGGCTGCCTGAGGCAGGGGAAAGGAGTCCTGGAGTGAAATCATGGCCTTGAGGCTTCCTGGGGAGGGAACAGAATGCCCAGGGGCCTCTGCGGGACTTGGAAGGGAGGAGACCTTTGGCTTTGGGAAAACCGTTCTTGGTTGGAGGAAGAGCAGAGATGATACACTTGTACCCTGTCTCCGCAGATCCATAGCTGCCTTCTTGGGACCACCACCATGGCTCCCTGTCCTGGTGGCCATCCCATTGGCCCCAGGCTCCTTGTTTGTGATGGGGACTCTGCTCTGGTCCTCTTCACAGGCTGCTTTGAAGAACCTTGGGAAGCTTGTAGTTTGGAGCCACGCAGAGCTGGCTGCGGGGCTTAGGTGATGATGTATGTGGCTCTGCGATCGCCTAACGTTTTCACTTTCTCACTCGAGATCTCTTTGATCCCGGAAGACAACCAGCAGTGCTCCCAGAAGACGCAGACCATTCCAGACTGCAGAGACCCGGCGTTCCACGAGCACTTCTTTTTGTAAGCGTCAAGAGCAGCTCAGCCCCCAAGGGGAGAGGCAGGCAGGGAGGTTTTTGTCTGGAAAGATCTCTGTTTGCCAGATCTAGACACAGATCTAAGCAGAAAAACAGCGGCTTCTGAAGGATGCCTTTGTGTCCTCCCTCCCCGGTGTCCTTGCATCCCTGGCCGGGGCCCAGCGGTAAGGCATGCAGCAATAACATCACTTGGCCGGTTCTCCTAACTACAGTCACTAGGGCTGGCAGCCCCCTGAAGAGCGGCCAGTTTCCCACTGTGCCTCTGGCCAAGTTTTCATCTCCAACAGAAGGAATTTTCCGAGCTGAGGGGCGCTATTACCTGCTCGTCCCCCCCCTTTTTTTTTATTTAAACTCATTAACCTCCCTGAGCCCCAGCTTCCTCGTTTGTAGAATGGAGTTAATAATAGTCCCCCCCCCCCCCCGCCGGGGGAGCTGGGGACTCTTAACTGGGACATGGGGCAGCGCCCATCAGAGTGGGAGCTGCTGCTGTTGTTGTTATTACTGTTACTTCTTTCCCCCATCTCTGGGCACTCTGGGGCCCATGGGAAGGTCATGGACATTTAGTCTTTTCCTGTTAGTGAGAATGAATCATAATATTTTGGTTTTCTCCTCACTTCATGACATAATTTTGCATCTTATGCAAAACTGGACAATACGGGTGAACAAAAAGGAGAAACCAGAAAGTCTTCAGAGCGCTCCTGCTCACACAAATAGCCTCGCTGCATTTCTTGTCCGAGCCCTTCGTTCATGGGGGCGTGTACCTCTGTGTATGTTTATAAGACAGGATTGTTTCATGATGGTGAGTCCCAGCCCCCTTTTAGTCCTTAGCAATATAGTATACACGCTGTTGTGCACGTGAGGACTCCTCTCCCACACTATAGCTCTATATTTAGCCGTTTGTAGATTCCTTCTCAACTGTTGTCATCGTGGCCGAGAGCTGGGCCCTCCTAATGCTCTGCTTTGCTTCCTAGCCCTGTCCCAGAGGAGGGTGATCAGAAGCGTCTTCTGGTGACCGTGTGGAACAGGGCCAGTGAGACCAGGTGAGGGGACCTGCTGAGCTGGACTGAGAACCTTCCCTGGGTTTGGGGTGCCAGCATGCAGTGGGGGAAGAAATGCCTTTGGGGTAAGTAAGTGGCAGTGACTATACAGAGTTGGAGAGGCGCCCTGAGACCCTATCACACAGAAGAGATGAACAAGGGGAGGCCAAGACGCCATTGTCACTGAATATTTGTGAGCTCTAGGTATCAATGAGGCAGGGCTTAAGCCTCCTCAGGGATGCCAACTGGCGTACACGAAACTCTGCTTTGAAGGTGCCCACTGTCCCAGGAAGGGACAGTAGGCATTGTCTGGAGATAAATTACAGTGACAGCCTACCCATAAGCCATGTGTGACTCTGTGCCCTGTTTTCCCTGGGCCTATTTTGCTCTGAATCACCACTGTACCCAGGACACACCTGTAATGAATACTAACCTCACAAAATAGAAAGGGATGAATGGAAAAGAGAGTAAGTGTGGGAAGGTGCCTGGGAGGGCTTCAGGATGGGGAAAGTGGAATTTTGAACCTGGGCAGAGAGTAAGAGAGAAGGAAGGGGCATTCTGGGCTAGGCATGAGTAAGCGGAAACCAATGAGGAAGCAGGGCTGGCGGTGGTGGCCTCAGACTGTCGTGAGAAGGCCTGGTTTAGGGGTGCAGGGTGGGGTGGGGGATATCGACTCAGGCTGATCTCACAGGTGGTGGGAGGCAGAGGAGGCAGTCGTGGGTCTGAAAATGAGAGGCAGCTGTTATAGTGTGGGGAGGACTGGCTGCTAAGGAAAGCGGATGCAAGCGTTGGCCTGCTGGGCGGGAGCATCGCGGGGCTCACTCCACAAAGGCACTCTATGAATCTGGGAGACCTGGTCACCAGTAACACTGTCCAGCAGGCCTAAAGTAGAGCTGAGTGAACTGAAATTCAGGGGCCCATGTGAGTGAAAATCAGCTCAGCTCTCCCTCCTAGACCTGGAAAACGTTCTGAGGTCGAATGCTTTTTGTGTATGCCCCGTGCTGGAGGTTGAACCCAGGGCCCTGTCCATACCAGGCAAACACTCTGGCATTGATCTGTGTCCCTAACTCCTGGATTCTTCTTGGAAGCATAAGTCCCAGTAGCTACTGTGGTCTTTTAGGGGTCCCATTCAACCTTGAGAACGAAGCGTCTTTGTTTTGTTGCTCATGGTACTCCTCACCTCATCCATCCATTTCTTCATCGTCCACTCAGCTGCCGCTTCCCGGCAGCCAACGTTCTAGGTGCTAGCACCCCTGCAGCTCTCTGGAGGGGAGTGAAAGAAAGAGACTTGAGGGTTTGGGTGGGGAAGGGGGCACCACACCGATAACAGGCGCCCCCACTTGCGGGCGCTGAGCTGGGTCCGGCCAAGAATGCATTATCTCGTGTGTGCAGGTTGTGCTCAGATTCCAGAGTTGATGACCGAGCCTCAGGGAGACTAGACCTTGCTCAGGGTCACCCAAACAGTGAATAGTGGAGCTGGGAAGAGAAGACGGACAGTTGTATCTAAGTTCTGTCCTTGTCATTGTATTGCCTCCTGGCCCCAAAGGACAGAGTGGCGAGCGTGGGTTTGGGAAGTGAGGCAGTCTGAGGACTTACCAGTGTTTTGGGAGAATCAGGTGCAAAGTAGGCCTTCGACAGAGCCGAGATGGAGTTGGCGTAGGCCCAGCCAGGTGGACCCATAGGTCCTTTAGAGAAGGGTGTATCCTCTTTAGAGAAGGGTGGTCTTTTTTAGTGCCGGCGGTCCTCTGTCCCAGTTGGACATCAGAGTCCCGCAGGGCACCTGTGTAGAACACGGGTTCCCAGGCTCCAGGTCAGATGGCTCAACCCACATCTCCATGAGCAGAACCTGGAGGTCTACACTTGTTTAAGGCCCCATGGTGAACTGAAGAAGCCAGTTTGGTGTTTGGGATGCTGTTTGGCCACTGGGGCCATCACCTGACGACCCTGGCAAGAGAGTGGCAGCTAGGTGCTGTAGGTCTAAGATTCGGGAAGGTCTTTGGCAGGACAAGGTGAAAGAGAGAATTGATGGGAGCAGTGTCTGAATGGGGTACTTAGCTGTGCGAACAGGAGGAAGGGGCAGACATACCTCTTGGGTGGTTGGTGGTGTCACCAGCAGTGTGTGAAAGGGAAGGTGAGATGCTGGTATCCAGAGCATCTCTGAGACAGTGGTGTCTGCTGGTGGTGCATGTATGGAATGGATGAGATGAACCACCCAGGACACTGGGTGTCAGGCCCTGGCTTTGAAGAGTCAGTAAACTGCATCAGAAGCCCCAAAGGAGCCCGGAGGAGTGTCAGAGAGGCAGAGGGATACTCAGCAAGCTCCTGGTAGAGGGGAGGGCTGGAGCTCAGTCTTCCATGGGAAGCAGGCAGGCGGAGCTGCCGGGGG